TTACCCTCCGCCCCTGAATCTGGGGAATGAATTCAATGCAGCCGTCATCGTGAGGCTGAGGGGAAGCGAGGGAGTATGGTTTTCTTATGTGAATAGTGGGCGTTGCATCTACGGCTTACCACAAGAAAATATTATAAGCAACCAACAAAATGTGACAGTGATATTTTCTTGTCAAAATTTGCCAAATATGAAACGAAAATAGAACGGAGAGGAAGAAAGACTCACATCATAACAACAAAGAGCACCAAGACCGCTGAGGAGATGGTAGAAAGATCAACTATTGATTCACCAGCATGCCTTGAATTTACCACTTCAAACAAAGAGCCTACGAATTTCTGATATGAACTAAGACCATCCATGGCCTCTGAATTCCATTCCATACAGTAGAATAGAATCAACTGAACTAAAATGAACCCGAATACAGTGGCAGCAAGAAGAGAACAATGAACGCCTGACAGCATATGGCTATAGCCCATCTCCTTATAGTTCTTCAGGATGTACCTGAACTCCACCCGTTTTGTGATTTTCTCCAAAAGCCATATCAGGACTCGTAAGCAAGCGGGATACAATGTGTTGCCAAGAAGAATTTGTGGAATTAGAAGCAGCAGCAAACCTGGATTCTTCTTGAAGATTATCATGTTCTCGTTTGTAGGCACAAAGCCACAGTTTGCAAAAGTAGACACAACAGTGAAAATGGAAAATGTTTTTATCTGAATGGCTTTGGTTTTGAGTATATTTGTTGCGCTTGGAACCAGGCTTACGTACATGGAAACTAAACTAGAACCACCAATATGGACTACTAAGAGATAACCTAATACCACATAGCACAAATACCTACTAGCGCTGTATTGAAGACTGTCAGTCATAGAAGACAGATTAATGTCACTATCTAAGTCAGTATCAGGTTTCTCATTCTCTACGGTTGAACAAGAATCCGTACCAAATTCGATTTGATGAGTAATGCTTTTTGAGGTCAAGGAATTGTTGGGGATGCTAACAAAAGTTATATTGTTTTCAGGATGTTGTTTTTTAGGGAACCTGAACCTTGCCAGCTGAAGTCCAAGCATGGAAGTAAAGACCTCCCCACCTATGAACATCAAAATAGTCATAATTATAAGTTGGGTGTTTGAAAAAACCTCCATTTCTACAGTCGACATGCTTGAAACGGTTGCCGCAGACACAGAAGTGAAGAATACATCAATATTCTTAGGCCTAAAAGAGTCGGTTTTTGGCTTTGCTATATTCAGAGCCCCGTAGCCGATTAAAGACAGAACTATGAAATAAGCAAGCTGAACCCAGAAAGGGTTCAGTTTGAAGAGCAAGAAACGAGAAGAGGACGAAATCACACCATGATAGGATTGTTTGAAGCATGCGCCTCTGGCGCATGAATCGCCAGGAAAACCCTCCAATTTCCCACCAAAACAGACAAAGCTCCTCATCTTTACCGTCAGAGAAAGTTGGCTGATAACTAATCGGAGGCTGAGTGTCGTATTTATAGGAGCGCTCACCCAACTTAGTGGGATTTCCCTGTACATGTGCCAATCTATTCAGCTGTGATTTCAACGTTGGCAAATACATATGTTCACTTTCAATCTCTGCAATAATTTCTATCTAGAGACAGTATATACCCTATAAGAACTTCACAAAATGGAATTTCGTGATGGGTCCTTTCTCCCACTTTTCGAATCCTTGTCAAAAGGTCTCTATTAAGTATAACCTGTTATGGTTTCTTAAGGTGAACATAGGCTAAAAGCTCTGTTCAGTATATGAAAAATAGAAGCTAACAGAGAGCAAGAGAAAGTGGACTATGATAACAAGGTTGTGTACTGATCTGATTCATTAATGATAAGCATAAGGCTTATGCACAAAACATGCATGAAGAGCACTTGTACAACAGCAACACAAGTTTTAAGCCTAATTTCATGCACCTGAACACGCAAGGAACAGGGGTAACACATAAGCACTTTTCATGACCAGTACAATGAAGCAAACAGATATAACGTACAAAAGCAAACTTAATTAAGATGCTGTCCACGTGCTAACTACATACAAGTCTTAACTTCATAACACGGATCGTGTCGTTTTGCTTTTCCGTCCAGTTACCGGGCTATAGCTTCTACGCACAAGAAATGATTTTGTTGAGCAGAATACAC